AGAAATGGCTTTAGAAGGTTTTGTGTGTGTGTTTACTGTTCTTTGGGATGCAGGCTGGGAGTACATGTGACCGGATCTCTGAACAGATTAAATGGAAAAAATGCCTCGAAGACCAAATCTGACAAAGTTTAAAAATGTCAGCGTCATGATGACACAAACATACCAGCCATACAGAAGTTTCTAGATTTCTCTCATTGTTTAACCCGAAACCTGAGAAAAGAAAAGGACAAATATTCAGACTTGAATACACAGCCGAACTGTTTTGCTGACATTAAGCTGAAGGAGATAACAGTTGTGCTGATAGAGGTGCTTTCCAAAAGACTGGACTGGTGCTACAGCTGTGGAAGGATGTGAACAGTCACCACATCATAATCTGCTGTAAACCAGGACATCTATTATACTGTACAATCTGGCACTAGCATTGATTGCCTTAAACACTCACCTTCAACAAACAGTCATACAGTACAACTTACTTACTGTATCCTGTTTTATTTACCAGAGAAGGGTATAAAGATTTTAGAATACATTTAATTATGGAACTTCTTCAGATGGCCAGATGGACGTGCAATATTGTTGTTTTATTCAACATTTATGAATTTAAACTTTTAAGTATCAAAATAATGTTTTGTCAATGACTGTCCAGTCCACTGCACAGTACAGCTGAATTTGTAGATTTGTTCTAGGTGTGGAGCTGCAGCACTGCAGAGGTACAATAAAATATTTACACAGGTACCAACAGCTGTGTCCATATTTGCCAATTTTTCTCCTGACTCCTAATAATCCGGAACAACTTGTATCCACTAGGACAATAATGGTAAAGTGGGATGGAAGTTCCACATATGAAAGTTGGGGAGTGACCTCGTAGCATTAAAGGGCCAATGTTCAGTATTTTCTTATTCAAGGCTAGACTCTACAGCCATGATAGCAGTTCTTAATTCAATTAATTGAATTGTGATACTGGAAAATACAGTATTCTGATAGTGGAGTATAGTATTCTGTAATGTCTTACATCAATAGAGTGCTGTGCGTTTCTGTGCTGGGTTTTGTGTCCACCCTCCTCCATCATGTCACTGACAGATGCTCATCTGCTTCTCATTTAGTCCCCCACCGTCTAATCTATGTGCTTCTCTTTCTGACTCTCTTCTCTCTGATTTAGGTTTTGCTTAGTGTTTATTTGTTTGTGTGTGGGGTTGTTTCTTGTATGGAGACGTGTGTACAAGGCTTAGCAATCAGTCAGGCTCCACCTTCTCATCAGCATGCAGGGGTAGTGTGCAAACACACCCACTGTTGTGCACCAGAACGTACTCGCACACACACACACACACACACACTCACAAACACACACATAGAGAAACAACAGTGAGAAACTTGCAGAGAAATTCATGTGGTTTCAACCTTGTCTAAAGTCACATCCTAAGATATGACTTTTCCACAAGCAAACAGTCGGTTCTAGAGCCAGTTTCCAACCAAATCTCAACCTATTTCAGTGTTTTCATGACCGACTAAATAGTTTAGGGCCAGAAAAATACAGTTCAGTTGAGGCCTCTTCACCCTGACATTTTAGTGCAAATGTAATGGGATTGTAACTGGTACTGAGCTGTTATTGTGTTAATCAGTTTAACATGTTTCACCAGCAGCCCGCCACACTCCAAGCTTATTTTGTTCTTCGTTGAAAAGTTGAGGCTTCCAAACACCCACTAAAGGACTTGCTCTGTGTCTCTAAAAACGTGATTCCTGGTTAAAATCTGACAGACTGCATTACATTTTCAGACCCCCCCCCACACACACACACACACACACACACACACACACACACACACACACACATACATTTGTGGTGATTAGGTAAGCTGGAGTGCAGGCCAGGATGTTAGGAAAGATCAGTATCTCTTTTGCCTAAAGAAGCATGGCAGTTTGTTCACATAAAGGAAACCACAAACAAAGCTCTTTGAATGACAAAAAATGGATGAATGAAAGGAAAGGGTGTTTCACAATATGGAAACATTCAAGTTGGTCAGTGATCAAAACTTTAACAAACAAGTGAAGTTAAAAATTGTTTACCAATAAGAGGAACATATATGTTAACAACCAGGGGCCCCAGCGGAGTTGAGGTAATATTTTAAAGGAAAATGTATCTCAGCGATGCTAAAAATTATATGCTAAAGAACTCAGTGCACCACAGTGTGGATTCAATATGTAGGGCTACCCTACAGTATGAAATTCCAATAATCCAATTTCTAAGAACTGATGAAATGTATAAATGAAGAATGTGAACAAAAATCATCATAATACATATCCTATCTATATTTGCTGCAAAACTTACCTGAGCAAACTACATCAGGCTGTTGCCATAAAGGCTGCAGGTAAACGAGCTACTGATGCTACAGTTTATGTCTAGGGCCGGGTTAATGCTTGCTAGCAAGTTAGCTAAAATTAACCTTGCCCACAGCTGGCTCCCATTAGTCTGCAATGACACTGAGAGCCTGTACTTCTACTCCCTCTCTCTCTGTCTTTCAAAAACACATACACACACATTATATTCAGTCGCCAAGTTTAACCTCACTGTGCTACCCTTTTGGTTTGGCAGTGTCTGTGTTTGGAAATGAAGGCGGGAGAGAGGGAGGATAAAGAGGGAGGGATAAAAGAAGGGAGTGGGGGAATGCACGGTGGGAACGAGGATGTAAGCAAAAAAACACAAGGAACGGAAAGAGCGAAGAAGGGAGGGAAGCAGGGGTAGTGTGGATGTTCCTATAAAATACCACAAGAATAACAAAGGAAAAAGAAGGGAGTCTGAAAGAAAAAAATATGTAGGGAAAAATAATAAAAATTTAAAAACTCCAACCTGGTACATTAGTCTTAATCAGTTCTTGAGATACTGTCTCATACTTCTCTACTCCACCGCAAACTTCAATATGATTTTTGCCCCGTAAAAAACATGTTTTGTAAAGAAATATGTTTGGCCAAACATTGAAAAAGCAGAAGATTAAAATAAAAAATCATGTTTTTTTCCAACCGTTTTAGGTTCTGCAGCCTTAAAAAATTTAAAAGTAAAAGAACCATCACCAAGTATCTGTGTGTGTGTAGTTCAGCTGTGACAATAATTAAGGGAAGAAGTTGCAACGTACGCAAGATCTCTGCCTTGGCCTGACAGTTGTATTCTACAGGGAGGTCCGGCAGGATTGGAAGGCGGGCGGGGTGTGTGTATGTGTGTGTGTGTGTGTGTTTCTGTATGAAATGAAAGCTGGAAACAACTCAGCAGAAAATGTACACAGTAAACAATTAAAGGTTCTGCACTGGAACAACTGAGTGAGGATGTCCACTTTCTTTTGAACATTTCTTTTTACTGTACATTGCACTCAGGAAACCACTTTCTGCACTCGTCTGTCCTTTTTTATACAAGTGGAGTATAAATGACTATTTTGTCTTTTGCTGGAGCTGCACGAAAAGAGCATTTCAGTGATCTGGAGGGAATTATTCTGAGTCACCATACTGGTATATCATGACTGACTGATGTTTCCTCAATGTAAATGATGAATGTGGATGAAAAAAGAAGGCTGTCAGCACGTTTATCTGGATCGTCAGATGTGTGTGTGTACACGAGGGCTTGGCTTCAGTTCTACAGAACCACTGTGAAACTGCTTTACACTCACGACTCCTAGCCTCATTAAAACTTCATAGATGTATGAGCACCGTTGAGGTGACAAAGAAGAGGGTATCTTCTTACATGCACACACACACAACCACAAACTCTCTGTTGCTGCCATACACATGCATACCATCTCTTTCTTTCTTTGTCTGACACACACACCACATCAGAAACTTTCCGGCAAAATGCCCGACGCCCATCTACACACGCACACACTCACAAACACACACGCGCGCGCGCACACACACACACACACACACACACAAACACAAGTTCCCAACCATCAGGGCACTTGTGTTAAATAATTAACAGTGTGAGATTAGTCCGTCAGCCTTGGGGCATGGAGGTCCATTGATTCCCCAGAATGCATTTTTAATGAGCCGCCAGCCGGCATTCATTTCAGCTAGCCAGTGTCCGTGGAGGGCCTTCTGACACACACACACACACACACACACACACACACACACACACACACACACACATAGACAGTCCAGGCGTAGCGCCAGGGGAGACAATTAACATACACATAAACACAACAGAAGCAGCACCACTGCACTGTACAGTGGATATCACCTTGACAACAGCAGCAAACTAACATCTTCTGAGCTCTTTAAGTTGTTTAACTTTAAACTTGATCAAGCACGAGTGCTACTAAGCAAATAATGGTTTCATCAACTTACTGTTGTGTGACAACACAATCTCAGCAGTGATTTCTCTTCTGGGACCAGGATCACCACGTTTTTACGTACGCATGGATGGTACGAGACAGCGAGAATTGTTTGGAAAGACCTGCAGAGCGATTTTTACCCAGCACACACAGGCTTACAGGGAGCACAACAGGGAGCTTATTACAAACAGATCCCTTTAATTTGTCTTTGTGGCCATGTGTACATCCTCACACAAATCAATCTGTATTCTGTCAAAGGTGGCTTGGATGTATTCAACATTTGCATTCATGAACTCACATGCACATGTGCCTTTGTGTGGGTGTCTGGACTGTTGTTTTCATTTCATAAAATAAAAGAGGAACAGAAAGCAAAAGGGCGCACAGACATGTATGTGTTCCTCCAAAAGCTATGTTTTCTGTGACACTTTCACATTGGCACATGTGAAAACAAAGTTGGATGAATCAAAGGCACATGACTAAAGCGTGAGATAAAATGCCACAGATGTTCTCCATTCCAACTGACTCTTTGAATTTGGTGGGTTTAAGGTGCATTTTTTAATACATTTAACAGTCTCTGTGCTGCAACTCGGACCAAGTGACCTTAGAACCAGATGAAGAGCAAAAGACAGAAATATGTGTGTGTGTGTGTGTATGAGGGTGTGGGTTGGTATATTGCACTTGTCCTACCTTTCCTGTCTCCCTCTCAAAGTCCACATACTCCCTTGTAGGAACCTGCCTCTGATCTCCGTGCAGGTTGGCTGGAAAGAACTGGAGAGAGAGGTTGGTACCTGTAGCTACAAAGGCCTGGAGAGAGAAAGAGAGAGAGAGAGAGAGAGAGAGAGAGAGAGAGTATAAAGTCAGTCAAGAGTTTTAGTTCTGTTTTGGTCTCCACCAAGCTGCTTAACCGGCCACTTGTGTATTTCACCGTTGCTGTTTTATGCTGGGCAGGTAGTATGCAGCTGCTTCTCTGAGCTTGTTAACAGGAAAAGGCTACTCATAGTTTCATATGGTGTGTGGTATGGTTGACGATGAGAGCTGTGAGACTCAAATACAGTCTATGTTCGGCTGGAGAACCAAAACATTGAGCTAAAAGACGCTAAAGCTGCAGAGTAGGGTGTAATTCATTTGGTCCAGCACAACTAATGAACGTCTCACATTACATTTTATTAATGGTAAAACGGCACTCAACAGATTTTACACGTCAAAGTCAGTTTACTATTATGGGGGTATTAAACAGCCTGTATAAACAGCTGTATAATGACTTCTGTGGTTCTGGAGGAGCTTTGACAAATCTGAGAAAAATCCCTCAAGAGATTTCACCCACTTATTTTGATGTAGACCAAGGGAGTACATGTTTATTGGACACTTACTTATTGGGCACAAATTCACAACAGAAAGTGTTACAAACTGGTGGCGTGGAGTTTGGAAGACTTGGGCTCTTATCAGGCAGGGAGGATCTCTATAGATACTTTATTGATGAGCGTCAATTTGAGCATTCTTTGTATTGCTGCAATTGAAAATTATTTAGATTTATTGATTAATCTGCCAGTTATTTTCTTATTAATAGTTTAGTCTATAAAACTTCAGAAAAAAAGTAAAAAGACCATTAAAGCTAAAGAGCCCAAATGTGATGTAACGGATTAGCAATTCAAAAAGATATTCTGTTTACATTCATATCAAACTGAGAAAAGCAGCAAATCCTCATATTGTAGAGGCTGGAACCCAACAGGTCTGACATTTCTTTCTTTATAAATGACAGTTGACGATGCAGCTGTAATTCTTTTCTTTTTCTATGTCAAGTCAATTTTATTTACATATCCCAAGATCACAAATTATCCTCAAGGGGCTTTACAATCTGTACAACATACGACACCCTTTGTCCTTAGACCACTGATTTGAATGAGGAAAAACTCCCTAAAAAAACAAGCTTTTAACAGGAAAAAAAGATTCTATCTCTCACAAGTCCACCAAATTTACAAAAGTTCATTTAAAAAAATATTACTTATTACTAATACAGATTTCTATCTGAGATTAAGATTCTGAAATACTGATTTTAAGTGCATGCAGTTATCGCTGTTTCATAGGAATGTTTCCAGAGGGTTCGTGCATAAGCTGAAAAGTAGAATGTTTGAATAAGTTTAAATGTCTTATTTGGGTCTAAGCCTGGAAGAGTTTAAGTTGGACCGGCTGTATCAGAGTTGTTCTATTTCTCTTTCTTTTAACTCTCTCTGTTTCTCCTTAGTCTAACCACTCTCCTCTCAGAACAAAAGCACACAGTGAACCACTGCCCTCCTCACATACACATAATCACATCATACTGTAGCTTTTCTCATTTTTTGATTTCTGTAAAATGGCTTCTTGCTCTAATGGGAGACATTCCTATCAAGAGAAGCACACACACACATACACTTATGCACACAAGCATACAGAAAAACAAATAAAATGAAAATCAATAGAATGCATTTTTCTGTTGCCGTCAGAAAGCAATGAATTAGAAAGAGGCAGAAAATCAAGTTAGAAAATGTCTTTCATGCGTATCTGTGTGTGTTTGTGTTTGTGTGTGTTTGTGTGTGTGTGTGTGTGTGTGTGTGTGTGTGTGTGTGTGTGTGTGTGTGTGTGTGTGTGGTGTTTGCTGAGACGGATCAATACTAAGGGCATTAGGGCTGCGACTGAGCTGGAAGCATATGAATTATGCACCATGTCAAATCTGTCCCTCATCAGAGAGTGAGAGAACGAGGGAGGATAAATGAATGAAAGGGAAGAAAGAGAGAACAGCAGTGAGGAGAGAGGAGAGAAGGAAATGAAGGGGGGCGAAACCTGGAAATGACCAAGTGAAGTGTGTACACGGACACATGAAGAGAAAAAGTGCCTCTCACACAAACACACACACGTGTATATACGTACACACTCACAGAGACGAGAGCTCAAAGAACACCCGAGTCATCATTTCTGCTGTATTTGAAGTATTGGATTGCAACCATCTGATACTCATTTGCTGCCTACTACCGCGGGAGGAAAAAAAGGGGGGGAAGGAGAGGCAGAGAGATGGAGGGAAACTGAGAGACAAAGGGGGAAACGAGAAAAAGAGAGGGAGTCAGAGAGAAATGGAGGAAATGAGAGGGAAACAGGACAGCGGTGGTAAAGACAGCATGATGAATATAAAGAAAGTCAGACAAGGAGAGAGAGAGAGAGAGCGGGAATGGAAGTGAGATGAAGAATAAAGACAAAGGAGAACAGAGCTAAGGAAATGAAATAAAACAGAGGGAACAGACAGAGAGAAAGAAAGAGCCAGAGAGATGGGAGAGGAGCGGGAAGAGAGACCAGTGCAGCATGAAAATCAATAGTGGTTGAGAAAGCGACTCATCTCTAATGAGCTGAGCTGAAGATAATTTACTTTGAATTATCGTCCCATTTATCAGATCAATCCTGAGCATTTTAGAGTCGCCCTTTGATCAGACTTACACACGTGTGTGTGTGTGAGTTATGATTTGGAATTCCTAGAAATACACAGCTGCCAAACTACATTTTTACGTATATAAGATAACCCTTTAATTTTTATATATATATAATTTATAATACAAAGTTGTTTTTTTCTTATTGTTTAAAAACTGTTATAACATGCAGAATATACAAAGGCATCTTCATTAATTTTGTTAATACATCTACTACTCTAAGAATCAAACTGTGAAGACAGAACCATGAAAAGAAAAATATTCAGGCAGTGTTTCTGCTCTGGCTAGCAGTTGGAAAACATTAACTTAATACTGTACATATGCGTAGTGTATTTGTATATTTTATTTTCTGCCCACTTTAACAGGCCTTTTATTTATTTTACTTAATCGACTTCTTCTGTTAATAACAACTTGTTCTAAACGGACGTTTCTGTCTAAAATGAATACTACATTTAAGAAATTAGCAGTAAGTGAAAAGAAAACTTTTTGATGTGGAGTTTATTTTTTATTGTATTTTATTGGAGTCCGTCTGGAATTATACAAATGTTGAAAAGAGAAAGTACTGTTCAAGGGGATAAAGATTTTTAAAGACCCCCTTCAGACATCTTTTAAGACATATAAAATACTGCTTGGAGTGATAATTTGAGTCAAATATGTTCAATTGCTGAAAATTTACATATTCTCCCTCTGTCATTGAAAAATCCACAATCCACGAATATGCAATCATTGTTCACTTCAAAAGTTTAACTGCCGGCCCTAAGACGTCTCTTATTAAAGTTTTGTTTAATACTGGACCGTGATTGGCTTCCAAACTAGTTGTGATGTCACTACACAGGTGTCTTAAACTCAAACGCTGGACAAACATTTTGCACAGTGAAGCAGAAACATCTAAGTGAAGCAACAACAGACAAAACATTATTTTTGAATGGAAGGGTATTTTAAACCCGCAAGTTTTAACCTAATTAATTGACAGTTCATTTGCTCCCTGTTCATCTGTCCCATTTATAAAAAGTGATCCTATACAGAAGGCTCATTGTGTCGGATAGTTGTTCACACTGGCCGTGAAAATAGCAGGAGGTCTTTAGCGGCGTCTGGCTGATAGATAAATCAGCGACATGATGTCACAGCTGCCATCAAACCATTAAAACCGTGGCCATCAATTCTCACAGCAGAAGAGGCTTATAAATACAGCGAGGACAGACAGACAGACGGACGCATCATGTCCCACTAAAAGATGGTAAAACTAGAAGTCCGTCCCCCCACCACCACCACCGCAATGATGACAGCATGTTTGTGAAAAATACCTCGAGGATGACTAAGACAGCAGAAGTTGCCCTGTGTTTGTGTGTGTTTGTGCCAGCAGCCTAAAAGGCTTTTCGTCTTCACCTTTTGTTGAGAACACAATAGGAAGTTTTAAACAGACGTCACACTGGAAGCATACAGTAATTACATAATGAGAATAGGAATGTGTCCCGACTTGCTGTAAAGTTATAAACTATATAACAAATGAAGCACTTAATATATTTTTTGGAAGAAAGGTCACATGGGTTCAGTTGCACTTGTCGAGAAAACATAGTTCATATCTGCAGAGAAGTGAAGACAGTAAAACATGTAGACTTTTGTGTTCATAAAGGACATATATCTCCTAGCTGTACTTACTAGTTAGTTTGCAGATTAATATTGTACAAACCTATTATGAGCGTATAAAATAAGATGCATTGTATATGCATTTTCTGCCACCTACAATATTAAAATACTTACATGTGCATGAGTATTAATGATCCAGTAGTATAACATATAATAATACAATTCTGACACAGACCATTTTCCTGCATAGTGGGTTCTTTCACTGTTATACTTTATGTAAATCTTGCTGATTATAAGTTTTACAGTTTTGAGTGCAGAACCTTTATTCGCAATGGACTACATTTCACACTGTGGTGTTGCGACATGGTGGTCTTTTCATTCGCCAAAAGAGTTCAGTAAGAGTTCACATCAGCCCATTTGCTTTTCTGAGGCCTCCATCTCAAAGCCTGACCTCTGATCAGAAGCATTTGAAGATGCGGCTACAGAGAAGTGTGGTCTGGAAATGGAGGGAGACAGATTCAGCACACCGATACTGTTGACACATAGTATCTCCTACTGTAACCCGCTGGCTGCTCCTCCATAAATGGAAATGACGAGAAACACCCCTTTCAGTGTAATGCACTCCAACACCACACCACAACACAACTAGCGACAGATCATCGACTTAAATCAGCACAAAACAACTCATGTCTGCACAAACATACTTTAAAAATAATTTTCTGCTGATTGACTGACTGATTAATTGTGTCAGTGCTTAACAAAAATGTAATGTTTAGAGTATGGTAGCATCTATTTTGTGTAGTATTTAATAATATATTTTTTTCAATTGTTATTTTTAAAGCTTTTATTATCGTTTATTATGCCTTCATTGTTGTTTTGGTGTGCATTCATTTCTGAAATCCATTTTTAGCAGCCTATGTTTTGTCAGTCGCTTGTAAAGCACTTTGAATTGCATTTGTTTAAAAGGTGCTATATTAATAAATGACTGACTGATATTGCAGGGCTGTAATGCATTATTGGACATCGTACAGATGTTTCTATTTTTCGGTTCACTCACTGTAAATCTACATCATTCACATGTTTATTGTATATACCAAAATTAGACATGACAGGTGATGTTTACCTTAACAGACCAATTAAAGGCCCCAAATTACAGCTCTAACAGTGTTTGTTGTAACCATAAGGTGTCTATGTGATAACATGCATTAATGTGTGCTGGGAAAATGATGACTGCAGCTGCAGAATATACTAGAAGAAGTCATGAGCCTGTAAGTGGAGTCTGGTAAGCTTGCTCTGCATGTCTGATAGCACGTCTACTTCCTTGTACAGGGACACATCAAAACATCAGCAGGCACAGGGTGTGCGCAAGTCTATCTACCCTGTACTGATGCACAAAGTGAACTGATCTCAGTGTTCTCCTAATAAGAGTTAATTTGTCTCTTAACATGGAGACAGCCTTGAGATTAATGAGGCCACAAATTCACAAAATACATATCTACAGCTTCACATCCTCATATAATACACGCATGCACACTCTTTTTCTCTCTTTCCTTAAGTCAAATATTAATCAGCAATTAGCACCACGTCCCCCTGCTGTTTTTCAAGGGGAATACAAAGAATAAGAGATTATATTTAGTTTTGTACTTACTATTTCTGACCGTCCGTCTCTGCAGGCGTTCTGGAAGCGAGCTTGTCTCTCCTCGTGGGGTCGGTCCCTGAACCCAGTATATTTAATCTACAGACAAAAGAAAACACAGACCTTGAGCAACACGCACGCACATACACAAGAAGATAAGCCATAGGAATTTTGATGTAAGGCTAAGTGCATCATTCTTTGTCTCTGCTTTTCACCAAGAAATAATACAAAATGTATTCAGACAGAGTAAGCTCAATATGTTAAAATAACTTTTTTAAACACTAAATAAATAAACAACAAAAAAAGAACAAAATGTTAAAGAATACGAGTTAATCGTCTAAAAGAGAGACATATAAGTGGACTTATTTTAATGCACTTTTGTAGATTGTTTTGCTTTTGGGGATCTTATTCAACGGTAGAATTTCTCCCACTAAAGTAAAAATCAAGTAACTGAAGCTTAAAACTCCCCCGGCGAGCCTTCATCTCTGCCTTTATTTCCGCCGTTCAGCAGAACAGAAAGGATCCAGAAACACAGCAGACTCACCTCACACTCTCTGCTCAACTTGCGGAAAAACTCCTCATTCTCAAACTTGCTCCTCTGGTCCGGGACTACCCGCGGCATCTTCACCAACACTTTCCGGCTTCTTGGCTTTCACGTTTTGTTTGTCTTTTTAGCCTTTTGTTGTTGTTATTTTTATCCAGCAGAGTAAAAGTTAAACTGTTTGCCTTGCCGTCCGTCCCTCACTCTGCCTCTCTTTCACTCTCTTCTCTTCCGTGTCTGTGTGTTTCCTCCTTCCCTGTGTGGAGCAATGTGCTCTCTGCTGCTGGCCTCTGAGATTATGACTGCTGCTCTTATTAAGATAATCTGCCCCTGACTGCGGCTCCTGCGCGCACCGGGTCGCCTCTGGCACCAAATGGCTCTTATTAAGTGACCCACTGCGGTAGATAAGGCTCAGTTTGACCGCGTGTCTCTCTCTCTCTCTCTCTCTCTCTCTCTCTCTCTCTCTCTCTCTCACACTCTCTCTCTCTTGAGGAGCGTGCGATCTCAAACAAGTGGCAACAAACGAGCGCTCTCGGTCTGTGTCTCTAGTCTACCTGCAACTTTCAAGTGCTCCTCCCTTGTGGGCCTGCCGATTATTCCTGCATTCAAGAAATTTGGGACACAAATGATGCATAAAGCACAAAGGATTATGTAAATCGGCTACATCTTATAATTTGGCGACTTTAATTAAAGTGATGAATCATATGGCGCAGAGCTGTTTTGTGCTGTGGTGGCAGAGGGAAAAATATCTGTCTGGCAAGTAGCCCAATTTACATTTTTATCCGTGTATCAGTCAAAAGTTGCAGCTGCTACAGCATGATTCAGCATGACAAACAGACATAAACAATGTTGTTGCAGAGGTCCGCATGCGCTAATTATAGGCTATAGCCTAGATAAAATTTAAACAAATAGGCCAAACAATAATAGAAACAAACATGCTGGCTAGGCCTATCAACACATGGTAAAAACACAGAAAACCGTCTGTTACAATTCATGTTTCCGCCAGCTGTTGATATATCAACAACTCTCTTTAATCTGCTTTCTTGTTCTTTTAACACTTTTGGCGGGTCGTTGAAGCACAGCTGTCAAAAGTCAAAATTACGACTATTCCGCAAGTACTTGAAAGCATCGACAGTCTACTTCCTGGCTCCGTCGAGTCGCTCTTGTGACTGTACACCCAAAATACCCCCCCACCATCATCACCACCTCCCTCCAACCCCCCATTCACAATAATAATACTACTACACACGCTTCTCGGGTCTGCCACTGCGCATGCGTCTGGCCTGGTCCGAAGAAACTTTACAGGATCCTTATGTGAGAAGTGAAAGAGGGAGAGAGCGTGAAGAGGGGGTCGGACAGACAGTGTTTGTGTTGCACTGATAAAATGAATAATGCAACAATCCTAAAATCCAGACATGGTGGTGAATATAGAATGTAGGAGTGATTTGAAATAGATGAACAAGTTACACAAGTAACACTGTAATATTCTCTCCTTGTGTTTCCTCAGACGGTGCTTCTTTCTTTGAATATTGAATTTCACATTGGAAGATGTCCACTTGATTTGTCTGACTCAGTCTGCTGAAGCCTCGTATTACCTGCAGTTAAACTTCAGAAATCATTTTTGCAACAAGGACTGTGGATTTACCCCCTAATCACTTACACTGAAATCACTTTAAGTCAGGATCTCTTCACAGCCAGCATGGACAGAGGAATGATTACAGCCACCAATAGCTCTTTCAGTGTACCTATAGGCATATGAGTAAGACAGACTAGGAAAAATGTGAATGTGTTCTTTAATGATACTTTACACTTCAACTCAGTTATCTGACAACAATGAAAAGTTAGCTGCATTGCAGAGTCATATTTTACAAATGATGCTGCTTGTGTTAATACATTACTAATAACAATAATTCGATAATATAACATTGTAACTTCAGTAAAAAATTCTGGAAGGAGTCATTCTGCACAATTTTAACTTTAGTACATTTGATACATAGGAAGTACATTTTGCTGATAGAGGCTATAATTAATATTTTCACGACAATGTATCATATGATAATGTGAGAAACAGTGTGAAAATGTGAAACAGGTCACTCTTAGTGATGAACTTACAGAGAATTATCACCTGAATCTGTAGCTCCCTTGGCTTTATGGAGCATAATAGCAAGTTTTAGTTTAGCTTTAACTGTCCAGCTTGCAGTTTTAGTGTTTTGGTCCATTCTCATTTTCACCTGCAGCAGGCTGCTGTTGTCAATGCAAAGCTCTAAAAACCTACTGTGCACTGCCTGCTCAGCAACAAACAGCAGACAGACACAATTAGAGACTAGCTGGGGAACGCAGCGGAGTATGAAGCAGTGAAAGAGACATTTGAGATATTTCCCTCAGTAGTTGGTGGAGAACAAAAACAGAGCAAAAAGACAGTAAATATTGGCCTTTCATCCATCAGGTGGTTTCTGTGTAACTGCTGTGTAGATAATCAACTGTTTGCTAACAATTTGGCCACATCAACTTAAAAAGTGATGATACATCAATGTTGTGTTCACACCTTGTTTCTGTTATTTCAGGTTTAAGTTTTTAATTCATTTTTAATGCAATATTATTGCAGAGTATTATTGTTACTACAGTTTTTACCACTTCAGCTTAAGTAAAGAGTACTCATCCCACCACTGCCATTGTGAGACATAACACCTTATTCACAGCAGACATCTTGATTTGTCATATATCAGGAAAAGCACAGGTGTTATATAAACATTAATGTTTGCTCCGCTCCATTCAAAGTGTCCCAGTAAGTCGTGACAGTGAGCCACAGGGACGTGTAAAGACATTTTGGTGGGCAGGGGCTCAATTGAAAAAAAGGCACATCTCATAATTATTTATAAAAATAAATTTAAACAAAACAGAAAATATAATAACACAAGTCTTCCTTCCAATACAAATTAATTCCCTCACACTCATGCAATTGTTTACTACTTTAATACTCAACAATTTTACTTTTCTACAAAATAATCAGTTCACACAGAGACCATGGTCTTCTTTAGTATTCACAAGGTTTGTCACAGGAGCAGGCAATAGCAAAGTAAAGTATGCCACAATGTGCATATTTTCTATGCTACTAGCATATATTTAGAATAAATGACTGCACCAAGGAGAGGGACATAGTTTCATTAATAATTTGTTTATTTTTCACAAGGCAATAAATTGTTTTAATTCTTTTGGTGTTATTGTAATAGCCTACATAAAATTATAAAATCAACACACTAAACTGTGGCATTGGGCTGCAGGCATAATTCAAATAAATATTATTATTAATTACTTTTTGTTTCACTAGCAAGATACCAAATGAGTAAAGATAACCTTCAGCTTCCACAGCCAAGCAACAGAATACTGCCTGAATACATTAATGTATTGATCAAATGCAGTATTATTTTTGCTATTACTATATTACAGACAGGGAAGCTGTGCGAACACAGGAAGAAATATACTGTAGGCCGATATTAATTTATTTAAAAAAAAAGAGCCCCAGAAAAAAGGGAACTTTCTCTTGAAGAAGAAAAAGGGCCCTTTTTATGTCAGTATGTGCACGTGCCTGGTGAGCCACCATGAACAACTGACCGTTTTCACAGCGGATATTTTGGCGTGTCCTAGCAGGGGAGCTAGATCCAGGGCCCTAGTTTGCATGCTAAATGGGGTCAATTAAAAAACTACATTTTCTTTCGTCTGTGCTTTTCCTGCTATGACAAGTCAAAATGTCTGCTGTGAAAAAGGCCTATGGGATACAAAATAATGAAGGCTTGAATGCTTAGAGGTACCAGTAAATGCACACAGTGTAGTGAGAAAAGTGTTACTAAGAAATATATCTGATCCTTTCAGGAAACATCCATTTAAAACATTGTTATGAGTTTACCTTTCACACACACACACACACACACACACACACACACACACACACACACACACACACACACACACACACACGACGATAATTATAATGTATTTTATAAGTTTATTTAAACTACAGCTGAGACATATTGGCACTTGAATGTTTGATTATGCAATGAACAGGGGGATAAAAACACAGCCCTGAAATGTAGCACAGCTATTTTCTTTCTCCTCGACACACCTACACACACACACACTCACAAAGAGTAAATATGACTATTAGACTACCAGGGGAGTTTCATAATCACCCACACTGATCTTAATTAAACTATGAACAAGAAACTGCAGGTTGAAAGTGTGTGTGTGTGAGAGGGAGGACATTCTCACGCAGTGTTTTTCTGTCATGACATGTTTGTTTGTTTTGTTGGTGTCTGTGAGGCTGTCTGTGTGCACGTGGAGAGACTAACTAGTGAAATGGGTGTTTTGTATCAAAGATCCCCTGAGAGGAATGAGAGAGAAAATGCAACATATATAATTATGCTTTGAAAACAAACATACCGACAGGCCTACAGAGGAGAAAGAAGAAATATTGAGAATAGGATACATGCTATTTGGAAGCGTAAAATTAAAAATGTTGTTGCTGTAGTTGTGGTACAGCTGGGCAGGCTGTAAGGTTAAATGTTTTAATCATTACTTTTTAGCCTAACAGAGGTTTTAGGGGTTGAAACGAGGCCTCATGCTACAGCATATGCTCTGAATGCTTTTTATGAAAAGAAACACCCCATCTTTATGACACCCATGTCATTGATTTCTACCAATCAATGTCCCATTCAAATAGCCAGAGGATGGCACACACACACAGAGCCCACTACTTTACTGCCTCAAACTGGCCATTTATGTGTGTGTGTGTGTGTGTGTGTGTGTGTGTTAGCTGCAGGCCAAACAGTGCGTGAGTGATTAACAACAGTAGCTGGTGATGCAGTAAAAGGTTCATTAATTAATCAGATAATCTGTGGTTGCCATGGTGAATAGTTCTGACATGCAGTCTGGTCTGATCTTCACACAGCACACTGAGCACGGCTCACTTTTGTTCACGTCGCTTTGTTTTTTGCTTACTGTCGAGTCAAGTTAGGTTGAGTTGGACTTTTTTTGTTGTTGCTTTCAAGAAAAACTGTAGTTTTAATTCCATTTTTAGTTTGTTGAGTTCATCTTAGTCAACTTAAATTTGGTTGATTTAGTTTACATGAAGTTTAGACTGACTTAGTTTTAGTATTTAAATTAAATTTAGAATTGATTTAGTTTTTTGGGATGTAATTTAGAGTTTATTCAGAGTTTTGTATATTGTCAATCTAGTCTACTGCAGTCTAGTTTTGTTTAGTTTTTACGGTTGGGTAAAATTACAATATATACTTTCTGATTGATATAAACTGTGAACTGTCATTTTCCCATACATGTAGCTATAGGCAGTATTGCCCAATGGTAATATTATAATTTTTTCATCAATGTGTATTTTAAAGTATCTTGATTTGTTAGGACTAACAATTTACCCTTTTAAAAAAATGTAACCATTATTGATTCCTCTGTGATCTAAAAGTAACAGGAAGTGGAGGGAAGGATGCCGAGC